TGTCAGTTATTATCATAAAATAAATCTGTCAATTCTAATTATGGTAGAGTTTCTCGGGGGGGAAAAAAAAACCCTTTTGTCTTTTTTCTTATCCACGCTTGCCTTGAATTGGAGTTGTATTTAGGGGTGGACATGGTTCTTTTTGGTTCTGGTTCCAAGAGAACTGAACTGAACCGAACCATGAACCAATGGTCTTTCTAATAATGGAACCAAATGGTTGTTTTAAAGATATGAAACCAAGCCGAACCGAACCGAACCGTTCGATTTTGATTTGGTTTGGTTTGGTTCGGTTCTAGTTTCATTTCTTAAATTTTCATATTTACATCATATAAGTTAGTAATATATACCTAAATAAAAAAAAATAAACATCAAACATTCAGAAAGTTCAAATTTCAATCATCGAGATAAAAAAAAAATCATAACTAACAAACAAAACATATTCATAATTTGAATACACAAATTAGTTTTTGTTCTCTTATAAAAAAAATGTTTAATAAGTAATAGCAATGATTGACTAAATTAATTGCAATAGTTTTGAAGGCACACACACCCCTACAATAAAGAATGAATTATCAAAATTTTTACAGTCCGCTTTTATAGGCAGCATTAACCGTTTTAATACTTCATGAATGTTTATTAGGTTTTCCTCTATTTGTGAGGAACACAAATAACTCATCAAACAATCAAGGTAAAAAAATAGTTTAAAGAATTTTTAAGTAATTGCCCAATTTCATTTTTCGATCTTAAATGACACTCCACTGACTTGATGAAATGCAGTACCAGCAAGCCGCGATGTTGTGTAAATTGAAAATGAGCGAAAGAGAAATAATTCAACTGAATAAAAAATTAGTGTGTAAGCAACTAATGAGCTGCCTGTCTCTAATGACCCAAAATCGATTAACAAACTGCATCCAATTAATGGGCTATCTCCAATGAATATAAAATTAGAGTCTCTACTAATTAATATATATAAAATTAAATATTAAGTTTGGTTCGGATTCTGGTTGTGATTTTTGAACTATAACTGAACCAGAACCAAAACCATTAATTTTTTTTTATAGAACCGAACCGAACCGAATCGCTTGGTTTGGTTTGGTTTGGTTTGGTCTGGATATTTTTCCACCCCTAGTTGTATTCTCTTGTTCTAGGTAATGGAATCAAAACCAAATTTGAAAATAGTTGTTACCCTAATTGCACAAACCTACCTCACAAAGTTAGCCTTGATGTTCATTTCTAGGGCTGGACAAAACTCTCGAACCGAACTCGAACTGAACCGAACCGAGCAGTTCTTCATAAGTTAAATAACCGAACAGGTATCTGAATCGAGAACTGATGAGTTTGGTTCGTTATCGGTTCTAGACCCGAAACCGAAGAACTGAATTTAAATAATTTTTTAAATTTTTTATATTGAATTAATTAATTTTTTTATTTTTTCTAAACAAATTAGCAAATTAACTATTTTAGTGATTAATGTTCTAACTCTCAAACCAAATCCATGCATAGCCAGCCCAAACCAACCCAATTTTTTGATTTAATTTTTTGGTCATATTATGAATTTCATTCTCAACCCAAGATCTAAACTTTTTTCAGTTTTCTATCATTCACTTTCCAATTTCGCACTTTCATTCGATAACCACTAAGTTAATGACCCCAAATTATTTGATAAATTGAAAACATACATCTACATGCCCAAATCAAAATCTTCGACTACCAAGTTTGACTTTCCCTATCCAATGCCCATCTAAACCACGACCTCCAACCACGACCACTGATCATTGACCATTAGAAATCTGTTAAAAAATTTAATTATGTTACGGAACCGAATCGAATTGAACCCGAACTTGAACTGTTCCATAATTATATTTAGACCCGACGGTTCCATTTATTAAATACTCGAAAATTTTGGTTCAATTCGGTTATTCTCATAATCGAACAGGACCATGTCCAGCCCTAAATCTAACTCTCGTGTCAGATTTCTGGGGCAACAAGATGATATTAGCATTAAATGACCTTGATTAATTAATACACTTGACAAAATGCCTTGGCCGCATGCATGAATGAGGTTACGTATACTTTCATCCTATGGTCAGCATCCATCTTATTCTATTATAAAAACTCACACAATGTGTTATTTCAAAGGTAATGCAAGTTTAGACTTTCAAAATATAATTTTGCTCTTTTTGCTACACATATTTTCTCCAAAGCCAACACCCTTTTTAGATAGGATGTTCGCGCCCAAAGCATCTCCCATACTCAAATACTTTCGATTTTAGCTAACTTGATTGTCGGATTGCGTGTCGCCAACTCCACCACCATTGAAGAAAGTCACGTGTGGCTAATAGTTTGTCCTAAAGCATAGAAATCAGGTTTACGTGGACGCGGGAGGTTTTGAAATCCGTTGACCACGGTAAGGTACAAAAATCGAGGTCAACGGATACAATGCAAATTGACTTGTTTGCACTTTGCATATTGCAATTCAAGTAAACATTTATGACACAAGACATGTTTTGGCTGAGTCGATAAGGTTGTGAAATATTAGAGTGAGAATTATAGTCAGTCTCTATCATAAAGCGTTTGTAGTCAATATATTTTTCGAGTACTATTTCAAACCTTTCCATTTTATAGAACTATTAATCATTGTTGATGCTTTTCGATTAAATTCTCCTATAAAATGGAACGTGCATAGCAAATGGACATTATTAAAAGGGTACGATGGATAAAAATGTATAATTTTAAGGAAGAACGAATAAAAGGATAATTATTTATACTGCACTATTTTAAAAATGCACTACATTTTAATTTAAATTATTGTACTAATGTTCCTAACTTTGTTAAAAAAAAAATCATAATTTATAATCTGATAACAAACATTTTATGTTCCAAAATGTGAATTATCAAATTCATGAAATGTAAAAAGGAGAAATACATAATGAAATTTTGATCGATATAAGAGTTTAACTATTTGTCGATGATGTCCTCGTACATTTATTGATGGTATTTTGATATTTGTCTTTCAAGATATAACGATCATATTTTGAAATAAGATGACTGCAAATTCCGCAAACCAATTAACTTACCAATGTTCATAAATCTCTTTATATGAAACTCGGACTCAAAATAAATGTAGAAATTATTATAAAATGAACATGCTGTAGGAAAATATGATAACAAGTGAACTAATATCAGAGCAACACCGAATTTGTTAAATCTGAATTACTGGTTTCATAAACAAAATTACAACAAAACTGAACAAAAATATAAAACATGAAATTGAACTTTTAACTCGAGGCCTGTGTTACACACAATTTTCTTAAAACAGATCCCCCTTCACCGTACGTGCTTGATGTATAATTTGAACGTCTACTTCTCAAGATACAACGGAAGACCAGTAGAGTCTGAGCACTACAGAAGCTACTCCGACGAACTGAGTTAGAGTCCGAACAATATCACCACCAGACTCAAACGAAAACGAAAAATAAAGACAAACTTGAATTGTGTGCAAATGAATATTCAGACGAATTGTTGCACTGAAAACTGGAAAAAATCGAGGTATATATAGATCTTGGATCTTGTAACTTGTCCACTTACTACATGGCAATTAGCCAATTACAATAGGAGTTTTAGGAGTTTCTATGAAAATTGGTTTACTGTAGAAAAATGTAATCCCTCCCAAACAGGGTTTTAATGTTTGAAGTAAGGTTTACTTACATAGCACAAGGACAAGGACGAGCTCAATAGCAATACAAAAACAATTAACATCCGACAAACTTAGCTCTTGTTTGAGCTCCATTTTTTCAAATTATGACCAGAAGAATAGTAATTTTTTTGGAAAATGTGTTATTAAAAAAAAGGAAAAGTTTTTAGGTTTACGTGTGATAGCATTTTATTGTAGAATGTGTGATTGATAAGAAGAAAGAAAAAATGAATTTTAGTTTAGTGAGGGCCAAACAAGAGCTTATATTCATCAAATTCTTTTAAAACAAACATTTAGCTTATTTGACACTTTCGTTTCACTTCTGCTTCTTATAGAAGAATTTTATGAAGAAGGTGCCTTAATTAGGGTTTAAAAATTAATTTTAAACCGAGTTTTATCTTTCGAAAGAATTTTTAAATAAAATTACTCCTGATCAATTTTTTTTAAAAGCTCTTCTAGTTAAAAGAAGCAATTTTATAAAATTAAGGAAATGAATTCAAAAACACTAATTTTTATTTCACTAGCTCAGTTTGACTCCTCAAAGCAATGCAAACCGTGCTTAACAAAGTAATATCAATTTGTCCCCTTAATGCATTGCTAATTCACGTGTTTCTAAAAGTAGAGGTAATTCTTTACTATTTCTTGAATGCTCGCCTCACTGATAATCTCAAAACCAAAATTTGTATTCTTGTCAAAATCTATACGGTTGTGAGAAGTATAATTTATATAAAAAGATGATTTGTTTGCAAAATATTATTTTTTTCTCTGCAATCCCATGTCATCGTCTGAAGTTTTGCAGGCCAAAATAATAATAATAATAATAAAAAGAATTAGTTTCTTCATGTTATATTCTTTATCATTCACTTTCAGAAGTGAAAATTGACATTTTTTGAGCTTGGGCGATGAAATCTATAGCACCCACTTTGGCTCCGGCAAAAGCATATTCTTCGACCTGTAAGTTTCTCATTTTACTTAATATTTCAAAATTTCCATTTTATTTGATTGATAATAATTATAGTTATCTACGTTTAGATAATTTGATCCCATTTCCATATTGTCTAGCTAGATGTATGCTTTCTAGGGCTTCGCAGTGTGTTGTTTTTCTTAGAATTGGGAACTGCAGCTTAACTTTACGTAATCACATTTTACGCTTTATTAATAACAACCTGTATATACTATTTGAATGTAGTCTATATCCGAGTTATAAATACTTGAATTTTATTCCTTTTCTCTCTTTTTTTCAGGTTTCGTTGAGTGGTGTTTATAGTACTTCGTTATCTGGATTCTGGGTGGTGCTTGTATATAAATGGCAGATTCAAGTTTCGTGGATGTTATATTGGAATTTTTGAGAAGGAACAAATTTAAGAACGCTGAGGCTGCTTTGCGTGGTGAGCTGTGTAATAGGCCTGATCTAAATGGGGTTCTTCAAAAGCTTATAATTGAAGATAAGGAATTGGGCAGTAAATTGAGTCAAGAAGTAAATGGGGGTAAAGTAGTTGAAGAAGATAGGAAGATTGCGAGTTTTCAAAATAGTAGGGAAGGTCTTATGGAGACAATTAGTTCTCAGAGTAGTGGGGAGTTTCTCAAGGAGCTAATTGTCAAAGAGATAGATTGTCGAACTGAGAGTAAGGGGCCTGAAAGCAAGTGGGAAAATTTTTGTAGTACGGAGAATCAAGGAAAGGTTAAGGAGTTGGTCGCGATAAATGATAAGTACTTTGTGTTTGGTAAGAATTCAGATGATACAGTGCATGGTTTGTATTCATCGATGTACAGACCAAGCAATGGTCCTGTTCGTTCTTATTGGAATGATGGTGGAAATATTAGTAGAAACAACTTTTTGTGGTCTCACGATTCTGGGAAGTCAAGGTTGGATTCGGCAGAGGCTCTTGATGGTGAGGATAATGCGAGATCTGGGACATGTGTTGATTTTTCTGCTGAAGAAAGAACATCTTGGCCGGGGAGTACTAGTAAAACTAACGTGGAATTGAAACTTGAGAGAAATGGAAAGAGTGAGCTCAAGGGAGTTGATCACCTAACATGCTCCAAACATAACCTTGCAGATAATGCCTGGTCCAGAAGTGACAAATCTGCCCATCCATCATCAAAGCTTTGGAAAGATTGTTCAGTTGAAACTGTTTTGTACTCTTCAAAGGGAGATGTATCCAGCAGTTATGACGGTGCTACTGATACTGGTGATAAAAAAGATGGAAAAAGGAAAACGGAACTCAACCACATTATGGTTACAACAAAGGATCAAGTGGATGAGGTTGCAGGAGTTCCGTACTTTGGGAAGTCTCAAGGAGGTGGGCTCAAAGACTTTGGTGCCTTTGGTTTTCAATTTGCACTTGAGAATCAAAAGGATGAGTTACCAAAGTTGGCGCCAGTGAGAGTCAAGTTGGAGGACAAATCCGTCAATGTTCACTGGGAGGAGAAATTTCAACATGATGGACCTGGTTCGAAGATCATGAATGTGGACAATGGTTATCTCATAGGGTCATTTCTAGATGTTCCTATTGGACAAGAAGTCATTCCGTCAGGTTGCGCTCCAAATTACCATGCTTAGAAGATAATTATGTAACTTCTGATACAATGGATAATAGACTGGTGTTAATTAATCCAGCTAGATGTATATTACAGTCTGAAAACTGAAATACTGTTTCAGATGACCAAAAATGGAAGTGACTACCGAAACATAAGCAAGCTCGATTTCTTCGCATTTGTTGGATCCCTAAAGATTTTATTAACAATGCGCTTTAAGGGTGACATCTAGGCTGTACATCAATCTGTCGTCAGCTATATCGAGTCAATAGACTCTATCACTACTGTTAAAAAAACTTCCATATTTTATACATCCCGCAACACTTTCATTAGGGACAAATTGTTTGCAGTAGTGACTGCCTTGAATTATGTGCATTGAAACATCAGGAACTCAAAAAGTCTAATCACTTGATTATGCGACACTATTCATTTCCATTTCTAATTCTCTAAGATAGTGAGAAAATAATAGAAAGGAGATCTTCTCTTCCCTTGTCTGGCTTCTGTTATATATGCGTAAATATTATAAAAGAAAGAAACTAAATTCTCTGTTGATCAACTCATTTCTCACTTTCTCAAAAAGCAGCCTGTCAAGTTTTTCTCTCTTTATACCAAACAATAGAAAATAATCTGAAGTTTTATACATCCTTGCCTTTCCAATTTTTCCTCTTTCCTTATCTCTTGAAACCAACCATACCAATTCAGAGTTAGGAGCCATTCTTTTTTATTCAAATATAGACCTCTGAATTTAATATAATTCCATCTTTATTTATCATGCTATCTAGGATGCACTTTATAGCTTTAATTACCCAACAAGTTACTGTTTTATCTGGTTTCCTCTTTATTTTTTTAAATAATCAATATTCTTCTTAATGATGGTGCAGGTGGGAGAAGGCCTGGAGGAGGTAGTTGGCTCTCCGTGAGCCAGGGTATTGTTGAGGATACTTCTGATCTTGTCTCTGGTTTTGCAACCATTGGTGATGGATTGAGTGAAACTGTTGATTACCCCGATGAGTACTGGGACTCGGATGAATATGAAGATGATGATGATGTTGGCTACATGAGACAACCCATTGAAGATGAGGCCTGGTTTCTGGCACATGAAATTGATTACCCAAGTGACAATGAAAAGGATACAGGCCATGGGAGTGTTCCAGACCCTATAGAAAGGAACCAAAACAAAGACAATGAAGATGACAGGTCGTTTGCAGAAGAGGATTCCTATTTATCTGAAGAGAGAGATCTCCAATCCAAAAATGTTGATCCTGTTGTACCTCCAGATAATCTTATTGGGTTCCCAGTGATTGAAAAGTACCTGAGAAATGATGAGAATGACTTAATTGGCAAACATATTGGACAGTTGATGGATGAGGAACTGAGTTTGATGTCCACTGAGCCTGTCTGGCAGGGATTTGTTTCTCAAACAAATGAACTCATAGTGCTAGGGGATGGAAAGTTTCTGAATGAATATGGAAGACCTCATCTACATGATAATTGCATGGATGATGGTCAACATGGTTCGGTTAGATCTATTGGTGTGGGGATTAACAGCGATGCTGCTGATATAGGTAGTGAAGTGCGTGAAAGCTTGGTTGGAGGTAGTACTGAGGGGGACATAGAGTACCTTCATGATCATGATGTTGGTATTGGTATTGGTATTGGTGGACTTAGATACTCACAGCACAACTTGGATAAGAATTACGGTGAACAATCAAAGAAAGATAAAAAAAGAACAAGTACAAATGACTCTGATAAATGTGATAGTGATACCAGTGCACATACACAGGCCAAGAATCACTTGAATAGGGGGTTCTCATTCCCTCCTCCTGGGGATGTACAGTTGGTGCAGACAACCTCGGGTAAATCATTGTGGTCAAACAGGGGACATGCTGCTGTAAGTGATCAAGCTGCTGATTCTACAATGGCCAACAATGATGTGCTTGCGACATGGAGGAACAAAAGCATTGACTCTTCACCAACAAAGTGTTCAAGAGATGAAAACATTGATAACACTGGGGGATCCTTAAATTCTAGCCCCTCGTCTCTTTTAAATTATGGCTACATTGAACGGGAGCTTGAGAAGAAAGAAGGGGATGTGAAAATAACAAGTATTCGAGAAGAAGATCCTGGGCTGTTACTGGAAGAGGAGGAGGCTGCTGCTATGCAAGAGCAAGTAAACCAGATAAAAGCACAAGAGGAGGAATTTGAAACCTTCACTCTTAAGATCATCCATAGGAAAAACAGGCACGTATGTTTTTACATTTACTGGTTCATATCAGTTTTAATACAAGCAATCCTTGTTAATTAGAATTATTTATATTAAAGGAACTCTATTGTTATCTGCTATCTAGTATTTATCAATGCAGATCAGATGGCCCTCTAGTAAATAGCAAAAAATTTGTCAATTTCTTTATATTGTCCTCGGTTAATGTCACGTGTAACTGTGTGACTTAGCATTGTAGTTTTTGGTTCGACAATACCATTTTTAAATTTAGATCAATCTTCAGGATACTAGAGAAAAGGAGGCCTTCAGACTTTTTGACGAAGGTGGCAACTTTCATGTCTGCTGTTGCGCTGCCCCATATGATAGCCATGCAAGACTAGGAGCTTCGGAGTTTCAGATTGAAAATGCTTTGAACCCTAATGGAGCATATTTCCCTAAAATCCAAAACCACCCAACCTTTACTTTCCCAGCCTCCTTACACCCAACTACCACCCCCTTCGGCCGACGATGTCGACGGCGAGCAGCCGGCGTCAGTCCAACAAAACCCTACCGGCCTCACGCCACAAATTTCCAGCCTCGCTTCCGGCCCTTCGACTGACGATCGGAACCCTAGAACCTTGAATCGCCTGTGCCACGGGCTGACCGTCGTTCCTACCGGAGATGGGTCGGCGGCCAATGACGTCGCATCAATGGGAGGAAGCAGTTCCTGTACAGAATCAACGATGGAGAAGAAGGCTTTGGCTCACGGCTGTCTGCTCCCGATTCAGCCACTTCCAGGCATCCCACCACCGAATGCGCCGGCCAGGGAGCCAGTGCAGGCGATTCCGAGTTCGGCAGGCCAGGCAGCCAGAGTTCACGTCAACCTGCCGGCGCGTGGATCGGCGGGTGCCACGCGCCGCATCTGAGACCTGCTCAGATCCAATCTGCAGTTTCGAGGCCATTTCGACCATTGGTTTCATCATCTATTGGTTCATTTGCTCAAAATTGTGGGAATCAGTCTCGCACTAGGGGTATAAAGGTCTTCAATTCACGATTTCGTGTTGAGGCAAAGGAGTTCGTTGTGTCTGCTACGGATTCGGGGTTAATTAAGCTATCAGAATGGGGTTCGAAGATATCGGGTGCAATTTGCATGGGCCGATATGGTGCCGTTTGGATGGTGAATATGATAGACAAATTAAGGATGGCTGATAGGATGGAGGACTTTGTTGCTAAGTTTGATGAATCTTCGCAAGCCTTCTTGGCACAACGATGTGCTAACAAGCGTGGTAGGTTTTTGATGATAGCTCAGTACGGGGATAGGCGTCGAAAAGGAGTTGTGATGGTGCCGGAAGGTGCGAATGGAGAAGGTTGGGAATCGATCTCACGTGTGTTTCAAGCAGTTGTTGACTCACTTGTTTCCAGAGATAAGGAGAAACAACGAATAAGTGTTGAAAAGAGGCGATCAGGGGTAACTTATGCCGATGTGACGGCTAACGTTGGGACATCGAATAGTGCTGATCAGCGGGAATTGGTGTGTAAGGAAAGGGTGGAGACTGAGGGACATGACCATAACGCAGCTTTACGGGCGCGCATTCAGACGTTGAAAAAGGAATTAGATGACTTGATTGAGGAGGTGGAAAAAAGGTCTCTAGTGGGCCCCATGAACAATTGTTGTGCTAAGTGTGGGGTGGGTTCAGATAAGCCTCCAGGCGAAGTTCAGACGCAAACTATAGTGGTAAATTCCTTCGGTGATGACAATAGGGTCGAGAGGGGTGAATCATATAGGGATGGTAAGGATTCTAGGATCGAGGCGTCTCGAGAGACAGAATCTCGGGGTGAGGATGGGCTGGGCACGATTCACCCTATACAGGGATCATTGTTGGATAGTGAGCACGAACACGAAATTGTGGTAGGGGATAGTCCAACTTTGATTATTGAGAAACTGCAAGGGCCGACATTTTCAGCAGCTAGGGTGGTGAACACTTATAGTAGGAGCCTTTCTAAGTCTCCGAAGGAAGGGGATCTAAGGAATGATAA